ATTGTCACCATGGACTTTAATGGCCTCAGCACCTCGGTATACCGAAAGCCTACTGATTCCCCCACTTTTCTTCTTTGCACGCATCCTCTCATCCCTCTTCCTGCAAAGACTCCCTTTCTTTCTCCAGACTTTGCCAACAGAATGACGACTTTCACCACAAGGCTCTAGAAATTTTAGACTTCTTCCAGCTCTGAGGGTATCCCGAACATGTCTTTACTGCTGCCCTTTACCAAGCACAATCTATTCATCGTGCTGGGTGTCCATGACATGGAGGTGACAGCCATTGGAGTTCGCAAGTCTCTTGAAAAATTGCTTTATTTACACCTAGGGAACTCTGGCGCCCAGTGAACTTAACTGCTAACACAACTTCACCTAAACCCTAGGGGGGTGAACTGCCTACACAGTTCCATCTTATCCTCGAGTGATGGCCTCTGGCATATCCCCGGATATCTATTTTCCCGGCTCCATGTGCCTCACCAGACTATTTTCTTGACATCGACCTGGCTGCCACAAGATACAAAGATAAGTGATATTGTGTATTTGTGCAGTATTGTCTATTCTATGTATGTGCTGAAGAAGGCTTCATAGCCACAATGTTCACGTATGTTTGTGTTTTTTAGTATGGAGAAGCTCGCAGATATACTTTTCGTTCGGTTTTATATCTTTCCTTGATACATAACAGACAGAATTGTGATGACAACAATAACTACTACTAGAAACAGAATTCAGCTGGCTTTGACAAAACAGGCGAGGAGGCCACTGCCCTCCTACCTGCAGATAAACTCTCAGGCAAGGTCAATCAAACACACTAGATGGGAGACAATGCTAATAAGAAAAGAAAAATAAAGGAAAATAATAATCTGATCTCAAATGGTGAAATCTCATTAAAAAAGTGAAATATTGCACACATTAAGGTACCAATGGAGAAAATGATGTGCACACACACAAAGTTTTTTTTCTCTCTCTCTCTCTCTCTCGCTTGCACGCACACACATTCTCTCTCTCTCTCTCTCAATTACAAAAGGCAAGAGTGCTTTCGTAAAATTGGACTCAATTTGATTTGGTTAGTCATAAAGGTTTATGTAAAGGTCTGTTCAACATGCTCAAGAGGACTGGGTGTCCACCTAACAAGCATTAATGAGTCGTTGCACACAGGTATGACAGGTACAATCATCTTGTGAATTGTAACAGTGCATGAGTTTGTAATGAAGCAGGGATGTGTTTTCTCAATGCTCAGTTTGCAAACGCTCAGGTGGATGGGTCATACTTTAAGAATGGTGGATGGCACAGTCCCTAAGGACATTCTCTATGGTGAATTACAGACAGCCTGATGCTATACCATACAAGGCATATACCAAAAGAGGAGAAGGATGTAGAGCAAGAGGGAGACCAAAAACAATATGCAAAGATAATATCAGAGAAACTCTACAGCACCACAATGTGTCTAAGCAGCAAGAAAAGCATGAAGCAGGACCTTATATCTTCCTCAACACCGGAAGATGTAAAAGAGGACATCAAGAAGAAGAATAATTACAGATGGGCAGAGACGACAAGGCTGACCTCTACTAGAATATAAAGATGTGTGCAAGCAGGACATAAAGGATACAGGTATTGAGGTGGATTCGTACAGGTGAAATATGGGACTGTTTTACATGGAGAGGGGGAGGGGAGATAAGAATGAAGGAAACAATATTATTGTAGAAAGGGTGAAAGCTGAGCTTCTGAGAAGAAACACACTAAATACATGTGATGGCAATAATGGTCCTGAAATCCCATGCTCTAATTGTGGAAGGCTTTTATAAACATGGTCGGGTCTTGCTAGTCACACTCCCTGTCGCCATGGGCTATTGAGTCCCATGCCTCCTCTTAGTGCAATATAACACTATTATCTGGACAGACGGAAGATGCCAACAAACAACATGTGAAAGTCAACAGAAATTGCCCCTAGGATATGAAATCTATTGTCCAGCTATTACTAGGGCTGTACCGAATAGTGATTTTCACTATTTGGCAGAATACGAACAGCTGGACCAACTATTTGGCCGAATACGAATAGTGAATCATCATCATCAGGTCCCCCCCCCCCCCCCCCCCCCCCCCCCCCCCCAAACAAAAATAATCCATGAGTCTAGAGGTGAGGATCAATTGATGACACTGGATAGGACAGACATTAACAAAACCTGTTAACAGCATAACTAGAAACGTTCTTCTCCAGGAAAAACATGACATAAGAAACCAGTGGGAGACACATAACACAGCACCACATCTCTGTCATTTAAAACAAACAAATACAACCCACCTTGGGGTCCCTATGTGATTTGATTCAAGAACCGACATCACAGCACTCGGGGCATTCCCATAAGCGCTCTGACCCCATCTTCAGCAGCCAGCGAAGAGTTCCGATACTAATGGTGCCAGTAGCATTCTGATTAAACGTCCGTCTTGCCTTTCCTCTGAGCCTCGAGCATCTGCCATAACCTCTCGTCACCCCCAACTGCATCAATCTCACCACTCTGTGGTGATCAATCTGCTTCTTCGAACTGTACAAGCTCTCCAACAAAGCACTAACCACGTCTGCCTTATCATGCATCAGTATTCCACCAAGCTGTGCAGAGCAAGCCAGTCTGTCTGCCTGTTTATTTCCCAACACATCGGCATACCCTGGTAAAAAAATGCAGACAATACTCCTCACCCGTGTCTTCCGCAGGGAGGCATGCCACTCTGCACAAAGCATGCCTGTCCTGATCTTCCTCAGCATGCTTTCTGAGTCAGTTACAATCACAATGTGTGTATGTGTCATGTTCTCTAGCCAGCGGAAAGCCGCAGTGACCGCCTCCACCTCCATTCTTAAGCTGGATGTTGTGGTATCACATGCTAGGCTCTACTGCACCAAACGTCGACCATTAATTTTTGCTAAGACACTCCAAGCACTTCTTTTGCCTCTTGACACCGAACCGTCTGTGTAAATGATCAAATCTTCTAAACGAGCATTATCTTGAATTAATTGCTGACTTTCCACCTCTGTGGCACCTGCTGGCCGGTCTCTGCATTCCTGGCTCAGTGTGATTATGATCCTACGCAAGTCTGACTGTTCAGGTGGCACTTTGACCCACTCCTCTCCTCGCCTAATGTTCTCAAGGATGCAAAACTGTCTGATTGCAGCTTCTGTCTGAGCCATCCATGACTTCCCTCTTATCAGCCGCTAACCCTGAACTGCACACAGAGCTTTGTGCAAAGGGTGGTCTGTGTCTGCAGCTACCCTAAGATATGACTTCACCTGCAGCACCTGCAACAGTCGGCAAACCAAGGGTGTATCGCATACACACCATGGGGTGTCTCTGGTGCAACCCAGAATGACCCGCATTGCTGCATTCTGTGTGCGCTCTAGTTTGTCCATCTGGCTCTTTGAGATGGTAAGCATTTCCAGGCCATAATCAACCACTGACAGGATCAGGTGCTGATATAGTGTTAAAAGCATTCTCTGCTCTATGTCAATTGCAGCCATAGTCTTAAGTGCACCAAGTCCATTTTGGCATCTCGTCACAACACTCTCCACATGGTCCTTAAAGGACAGGCTCCTGTCATTTATAATTCCCAAATACTTCAGTTTGCTCTCTGTTGATGTTTCTACCATCTATCGTGAGACTTGGGACATTAGCTTTAATGATCCTGTTGTCTAGAGAACACCACAAAACAGACTCCTTTTCCGGGTGGACGACAGCCCTCATTTCTGTACTCCACTCAGTCACTTTGTCCACTGTCGCTTGTAGCTCTCCAGCTGTTTGTTCCCTCTCTTCCCCCTGCCTATATGCAAGTATATCATCCGCAAAGGTCCGTATCCTTCCAACTCCTGGTGCTTCTAGGCTTGCAATCTTGCTCGTATACACATTAAAGAGCATAGGCGAGATAGCGGATCCCTGTGGTAGTCCTGGGGCCAAACTGTATGGTTCTGAGGTTCATGAGCCCAGTCGAAGAGCAACCCGACGTGAATACAGGACAGCAGCAATCCAATTCACCATCCATGGACTGACCTCCTCCTCCTTCAGTGCAGTCATCAAGATGTCAAATCTTACTCTGTTATAAGCATCCTCGAGATCCAGTCCTACCGCCATAGTTTCCTGTCTGTTCTGGAACCCTTCATAGACGTCAAAAGCAAAAGTGGCCGCAGTTGCCCACGTGTCCTTTCCTGGCCTGTAGCTTCCCAGACCTCTTGGGAGAAGCTTTCCCCCTTTCCAAAAATTCTTGCAGCTTTACAGTAATTATCTTCTTCAAGACCTTCCCAAATGTGTTTTGCAAAGGTCCCTATGTAAAATGTCCCTGCCATTCAACCAAACAAACAAACATACACACCAGACAACCCAACTTGAGGTCCCTATGCACCATGCCCCTGTCATTCGTACAAACAAACAAACACACTAGACATCCCAACTTGAGGTTAATGTCATCCAACCAAACAAACAAACAGACACACTACACCACCCACCATGAGGTCCATATGCACCACTTTTCTGTTATTCATACAAACAAACAAACAAACCAGCTACACCTTGCGGTCCTTTTGCACCATGACCCTGTCATTCAAGCAAACAAACACAGCAGAGAGCCCACCTTGAGGTCGCTATGCACTATGCCCCTGTCATTCATACAAACAAATACACCAGACAACCTACCTTGACATCCCTATGCACCACACCCCTGTCATTCAACCAAACAAATAAACAAACAGACACACCACCTTAAGGTCCCTGTGTACAAGGCATCTGTCATTCAACCAAATAAACAGACAGACATACCAAAAAACCCTCCATGAGGTCCCTGTGCACCACACCCCTGTCATTCATACAAACAAACAAAAGAGAGCCCACCTTGAGGTCCCTATGCACCACGCCCCTGTCATACAAACAAACAAACAAACACAAAAGAGAGCCCACCTTGAGGTCCCTGTGCACCACCATGCCCCTGACATACAAACAAACAAACAAACACAAAAGAGAGCCCACCTTGAGGTCCCTATGCACCACGCCCCTGTCATGCATGTAATCCACAGCCTCCAGGATCTGATGAATCAGCTGGCTGGCATCCTTCTCTGTATAACTGCCCTTCTCCACAATGCGATCAAACAGCTCGCCCCCAGACACTCTGCAAATAGAAGCACCCCTTTTATTTCCTTCCCCTAAGGAATAATATGAACGAGAAAACACAGGCTGGTCATAAAACCTATTATATCCCTGCCAGACAATTTAAATCGGAAGATTGGATGACCTGCAGCCACAAAATGAACATCCATAATACATATATAACAGCTAAACTGTGTTTTCCTGGTTATACAGTGACAAGTATTGCGTTCTTCTTTCAAAATTGACATCTTCATGCCCAAGATGATCTCTCCCTCCCCCCTAAAAAACATGTGTATATAGTGTTTGTTTGTTTGGAGGAGGTGATCTTGGGCATGGGGGCGTAGGTTTGAAAAGAGAAGAAATAAGAGGGGAATTTAATCTGAAAAGTTTAAATGGGAGGCATTAGGTTCAGTGTTGCTGATGATTACTTGGGTGTGTGTGTGTGTGCTCATTTGTGTGTGTGTGTGTGTGTGTGTGCACATGCATATGTGTGTGCACATGCATATGTGTGTGTGCGTGCATGCATACTTATGTATGTCTGATTGTGATAGAAAGAATTTTCCGTTATACAACACCAGCAAAGGTTCAAGTTCATGTTTAAAGGGTCAGTTGACTTGGCAAGAGGCAGGTAACCCATTGATATAGCAATGCTTTGAGATCAGAAAACAGAGATTGTGCTGGCTGATTTATTTAACAACATACCAACACTCAGAGGACAGGCAGGATGGACACACAATCACACCGCTACCATCAGAAATGCATGGGGATACTCAATGTGTTAGTTCTCAACTCAACTCAGCAATTGTCTGTTCCAATATTGTATCCTCTTTTGTTATGATGGACATCAGGAATTGACAGCATGTGCTTCCTCGGAGACTCGCAGTGCAATCAGATAAACAGACTTACTGATCATAACAGGATTGTCCAAATATTTCCATCCCCTATAACAATGGCTAATGAGAGTTTTCAACAGCCTGTCCACAAAGACAATATTCCAGCATTGTACAAAAAGCTTTTCATCTGCCAACTAACTGCTGTGCACTTCATCTAATAGGGTGTAGAAGTGCCAAGAGGCCAGAAAACATCTGTATACGCCAAGTGGCCAAAAAGCTATCTGTCCATCTTATGTAATTAAGGCTGTAAGGTTTTCATCATTTTGTCCAGTGCCTAATGCACAATCTGACAGACAAATAAGTTTACATACGTAAATGTCCAAGCACAAAACAAGGACACTGAGACAGATGGCAAAGAAATGGGTATACAAACAAACATTAACATGTGTTCATGACATGCATTAGAATTATGAAACTCTTTAACATTTACAAATTAAATCAGATATGGAAAGTAAGGATATAAAGGAACATTATGCAGGGACACAATTTCATATGCATACAAAACACCCACAATAGATTTTGTTAAAAGTTAAAGTTGAGACGCTCAATTTCGCTGCACCAGGTTGTACCCCATATGACTCACTGTCTCTCTGCAGAACGGTTAACTGACTGCTGAGACCATCACAGAAAGCACAAACTCTGTAGCTCCACAGACAATATTCAGGTGCCCCAATAAGAATTACACTCTTGAACAGAATGACACAGTTGTGAAACAAACCCAAAACCTTCAGAGCCCGAAGCAAACAGTTTGACCACTGTGTTCAATATCAAGCCAGCCGCCTGTGCTTCCGAGAACACTTCCTAATACAGAATGTGACTCTCATTCAGGTTACCTATGTTCAAATCCTCTGTTTGGTATTGGCACTTTTTTCTGTCTACAGCAAAAATAACAATCCTAACCTGTACATTTCACGACCTATACATTAGCCATGTGGCTCTAAATCTTCAGGTTCAAGAAATCTAGCCTCCCACCCCATTTTTCCCCAGTCCGATTACACTGCCCTAAGAAATGGTCAATACAGGTAATAAAGACAGACAGTTGACCTGGCAGCGCAGGACAGTTTTCACTAAGCCAGCAAATGTACTAGCACAACTCTCCTTTTTATTAGTGGTGTGGGTTTAATTTCCAGTTGTTGTAGCATTGCTTTTCCCACCCAAGTGAGAAGACATGCAATCAGGTGAGTGTTTACCTCCCCCACATGGCCAAGCCATCCAAGGATTTATCTCTTTACCTTTCCCTTGCTCTTTTTTCATCAATCTCGCCAGTCATCACCAAGTTTCTAGAGTCCATTCTTTCATAATACATGTCCAAAAAACAAATGCATTTTCAATTATAATTCCCTAATCAGTGTACAACTGTCATCGTTTAAAAGAAAACTGTCTTGTTAGTTTTCCCATCATTCCATGATAGTCTATGCATTCTTTTCTTGGCTGAGAGTAATGTTTTTTCCGCTCATCTGCTTACTGTCCATAACTTACGTGCAAACACAAACACTGGTTCCCTATTGTAATTTACCACTTTCTTTCACATAAAGCATTGCACAAACAGAAATAATGTACTAGTTTTTGTGTGACGTGGATTCAAATACCAGGAAACAATAAGTACCAGCAACATGGAAGAAGAAGAGAGGTACTCACAATTCCATGACCAGGTAGACATGTGATTTGTCCTCAAAGACATCCACCAGACGAACAATGTTTGGATGACTCAGTCTGTGGAAGACAGTAACCAGCACAACTGGATAAATTCTTTGGGGAAACTATACTATCATAGTATATGTCTTCCTCATGTGGGTTCCCGTACCCCATTTGGAAGGGGGGGGGGGGGATAAGACCTACTGCCCCCTAGCAAGCATGTCAACTAATCAGTGGTATTTCCTTTAAAGTCAGAGTGCATCTACCTGAGAGACAAGGAACCAACAGTCTTCATACAAATAATCCAGATCTGTAAAATGGATGTGCATGCAAAACTGAAATTCTGGACCAAGATTAAACTCCAGAAGCGGATGAACAACCAGATCTTTCCACCAGAGTTTACAGCCGGTGAAAATGAAGACGAAGAAGCAGGTATAAATCTTACCATACACAATCCCTTGTGTGGGTTCTGGGCCCCACTGTGGGGACAACAATAGACCACGGGTTCCCCAACGAGCATGTCGTAAGAGTTAACTAACCTTCAAAGTCGGAGTACACCTGCCTGAAAGGCACGGAACAAATCATCTGCATGCACAGATCTATAAAATGCATGTGCAAGCAACACTAAGGTTGCGGAACAAGACTACAGTCTAGAAGTGGAAGAATAACCAGAACTTTCAGCCGGAATTTACAGTAGGTCAATGTGAAGAAGAAGAAGACTATAGACAATGTCATGCATGATCTACATCACCATGCTGATATGCCTTTTTACATCACATAGGGCTCTTATCTAGTCCTCCATTCCTTCTATTATGTCCAATCTTTTCAATATCTCAGAGGTAATTTAGACCAGCACCTTTGGCCTCTCTCAACAACATCCATCTTATGTTTTCTCTTAGCCAGTGTTATTTCTTCAATCCATCTGCTTCCCATTTCAATGCCTGTTTGGTGATACTGACCGTGTAGTCGACCTCTGGTTCTGCTTCCATTAGGTCTAAGTTACAGGGCTCTCTGTGGTGCACTGTTTTGTGGTAGTCTTGATATATACTGAAATGATTTGATTTGCTGTCTCTTGATTTCTTTTAGTACTGGTTCTGCCCTAACGTCTTTCCTGATATCATCATTTCTGATCCTGTCTTCTAGTTAGGGTTCATCACAGACATGTCATTTCTGTTGTTCCGATTTTTTTTTAAATTTATACTAAACTAAATGCACTGTATCCACATCCTTGTCTCTGTCAACAGACTGTAGTGTGTTCACACTATAAAGGTCTTGCAGTCTAATGAGACTCATAATTCCAAGTTTTAACAAGCAGCAGAAACCTTTTGTATGTAGTGACTATTACTACACTGTGTAGATCCCAATGTTGTATATTTCACTTTTAATGTCTTTTTTTTTTTTACCAATGATAACCCCTGTGATAATTAATCTCACATTAAGACTTTTCGATTTTAACAATATTTTAAAAAATAAAACCAGAAGCTTGTCCTTTACAGTACAATGCAGAACCAACCTCAGCATTTGTTGTGTGTGTGGCCGTCTCTGATTTTACTACTAACTTTGTGTAGTTTGCCACTCCTTGCTGAATGAATGGTCAGCTCTCAATACAACTGTCAAAATTAACACAAGGTGGCCTACTGCCAAATGGAACCCGGCAGCCTAGCATTATGAAGCACATTACAACATTTAAGCAACAGATGTCTACTTGTTTTTTAGTGTCTGTTGCAGCTCATTCAATGTCCTCTATTCATGATTACTCTATGTCTCCAATTTTTTATTTGTTTTTGCAGGTCTCCCTCTATCCGTTGTTTTATCATGTGGGGTCCAGACAAAGCACAATCTATTTATACTTCTATCAGGTTTTATCCATGTTCATATATGAGTACCAGAACAAATACTGAGTCAGTTACACCCTCTCCACCCCCTTTTTTTAACAGCATTAGACAATCCCGATCAGCATAAATATGTGTATTATACAAAGCATATTCATTGCCACCCTATGCTACCAGTGCCAGACATGGTCACTCACAAGAAATCAAAAAAGAAAATTAGTAACCATGGAAATGATTCGAAAACTACCTGATGTATATTATGGGCATCCACTCACCTAAGGAACTTAACTGTCAACACAGTTTTTTCCAACATCTTTGAGTTAGAGTATTTGGCATTCCCAGGCTTATTTTTTTCATTCATTTCAATGGTTAGACAGCGAAGTGAGGGTTATCGGAAATACATCTATTAACTGATTTTTACTAGTCTTGTTTATATTTGTGGTACTGTAGATCTATGCAATGCGCTGATGAAGGCTTTCTCACCGCAACCCTCACTGTCATTTGTGTTTCTGGCACCACGAAGCCGACTGCTTCTAATTTTCCTTTGGTTTGTTATCTTTTTATGATAATCTTCACTTCTTGACTGGCAGGAATATTTCTACTGCTCACACTAAGCTACCCATTAGTGATTCTGTCAGACCATTTAATCCCTTCAATAGTGAACAAGCACCAGATAATGAATGTTTGTTGTTTGTGCAGTGACAAGCAAAGAACACCACTAGCACAGCCTTTCCCAGAGGTCAAAATGTAGACCACATGTTCAACTGGCACCACGCCAGGCTCTAGTTACTGCAACGGGTAGAATAACATCAACTGCATGCTTCAGCAGGAAGATAAATATGAGAGGCAGGGTCAGATTTCAACTTGGCAAAGCCCTAAAATATAAAGTCCTGAGGCACCCTAATATTTTTAATTACACCAGCTAATGTCAAAAACCTGAAAATATATAGGACTTTTAAATATATGCATAATGGAAATAAAATTAGTATTCAGTAAAAGAAATGACAAACAATGTGTTCACAATATCCCATAAATTATATTATATAATCCTCAAAAAGGTTCTATCAAAAAAAATGCATTTGTGAAACAAAAACAGGAATTTGTTGAGGCCCCTGCAGGTTGCGAGGCCTAAGCTGTAGCTTATTTAGCTTATACCCAAATCCAGTATTCATACAAGGAATAAGAAAAAGCTGCTATGGTGCTATCCATATATTCTTACAGACCAATCATCACTAGATGGGTGATGGGGTCAACATCCTGCCAGTTACCGTTACTTCCCAGGAGATTTAAGGCTAGTTCAACCCAAGAGCCAAAATCAATTTTTTTAAAATATGCTTTACTGAAACTTCAGGTTTCTTCTTCTGGATTCAACCTTAACAGGTTGGCTAGAACTTTCTGTTGTGGTTACAGCTAGACTGCGATATGTGGCCCATTCAGGCCAACACATCCAATTTCAGCAAACTCTTAACTAGTCGCTTTTTATGACATGCTTGTTAGGTGACAGTGGGTTAAACTCCTCCCCACCCGCCACTCTAAAATGGGGCCCTGGAGCCCGTATGGTGAACCCAATAATCCATCTACAAACCCAAGCAAAGATTTCAGTACACAGGAACCCGAATAGCAAAAGGCCAACAGAGACTCACCTGCGGAGGACAGATATTTCATTGTCCAGAGCTTCCTCCTTGCCTCGGAGTCCTCGTCTGTTGATGCATTTGATGGCATTGTACTTCCCTCGTTCTGTCTTGTTTTCTGCCAGGACAACTTCAGAGAAAGCACCCCTGTCATGAACACAGACAAACAAAAGAGTTATAAATCAATTCAACCTAAACTAAATGTACCATTTATTCACTTCACACCTTTTCTTCTTCTTCTTCTTTCACTTGAAATAGATTATCTACTTCTGCAATGTTGTCTCTAATATGAATTTCACTGTCTGTTGTAATTCACTCAGGGATCTGTAAAGTTTGGCTTGCATCAGTGTTTCCTTTCCTTTCCTACATTTTATGAGATTATATGTAGTACACTCATGTGACTTCCCTGTATGGGGGTCTGTTAACCAGGATATTCTGCCCCATTTGTTGTTTTTTGTGTAGATGAAGGTTCTAGTCAAAACGTTCAATTATGTGTGTGTGTGAGTGTGCACAGAGTGCCCTGCTTCCTCCTCCGTCAAGCCTCCGCCTATAATAAACTTAAACTGTAGCCCGTGTTCAGGGCTTTCTTTAAACAAAAATTATTTTTTTAATAAATTGCTTTTTTTTAAAGCTAAGCTGATGATGTCAGATTTTTCTCCTAAGCTTCAGTGATACAGGTCATGGAGTCAGCGCTTGACTACAAGCTACAAGGGGCGCACTCCATTTCATGCGTCACCCTGTTCATAGCTTTATATATTTTTAAGAAAAAAAAAACTATTCAGGTGCATATATTTTTTATGAATTTATTAGAGACCTATTTAAAAATAGTTGTTTTTCTGGCCTATTTCTGGACCTATTGTAATGTTCCTGGGGTGAAAGGGTTGAGAAGAAGGACTGTTCAAAAGGTATCCACCCCCAGCTTTTGTCCATAGAAACAAGTCAAACACAGAATATGTTCTCTGGCAGGATAGATGGAGGGAACCTTCATGCACACAGGTGAATTGTTTCTTTCTGGCAGACAGCATCAGTCTCTGCCAGTCAATCTATGACTGAGTTAGTGTAATAAACGATTTTTATCTGCCGCAAAATAACGCAGTGAATTGAGCAGCTGAGTTAAATCAACATTCACAGAAAGCTTGTCAATTATCAAGGGGAAACCCTTTGTAAGATCTGGCACTGATGCCACGGGGTGTTGGGGGGTCACCAGAGGAAGTCAAGTAGACAATATTCTGGATTGCCTTTCATTATGGCACAGACTGATAGAGATCAGTCACTTGACTAGGTCCCTCATGATGATGATCATTCAGCTGAGGTAAACATCTACTTCTGAATCATTCACCCTTAAAAGGTTGGCTAGCATGCAGTGTTGTGGTTGACAGCTAGGCTGCAATATTTTGCAACTTTCAGCCCAACACATCTGATTCCAACAAACCTCTAATACTGTGCAGACCTCTTAAGGTGATCTCGGATGTGGCAAATTTCTGTTTTGAAGAACAATTCATTTATCATTTGCAATTTTTCTGAATGAAATCTCACCGGATAAGAGAAATTTTTGATAAAAAGAAATATTTCTTGAGTCTCAGGTAAGATCTCCTCATCAGGTCTGCACTGGAAG